CACAGTAAAAGCGTTAAAGCGAAAAGTTGGACAGGGGACTCCTTATAGTACAACACGCATAAACAAGAAGTGTTTTTTTCTGCAGCGATTAATAGCAAACGAAATTCATTGGATATCAACACACGTTCGAGTTGGCCACATTCCGCTCCTTTTTGCCTTTATTCTAGTAAACACAATTTTGCACTACAACTCAATTCAGTAAACAAAATAAACAACCTACAATGTGTACTAAATAACCCACTCAAATTTTGATCTTCACACTTCATCAGAAATTCAGTCTACTGTATCTGCATCAACTGCAACTCCGATTATGTTCTCTTTTTGCAACTTACTCTTCTTTGTGATCTCTCCACCTTTACTAATCTCGTTAGGAGGTTGCTAGTATACTGTCGAATCTTTGGATCCAATCTGAGACCGTTTACAACGAAAATATTCGACTCATCTGCCGCCTTCTTCGTCAACAACGCGAGACCATCATCCGACATGTGTATGATTGTCGAAACGACCTGGCCGTCTTTGTCAGGCGGCCCGATGATATGCAGGCTTTGGTGACTGAATTTCAAATGGTACGGCTTTCTTTTTGCACTTGTTACTATACCGGCGTAAACTTACTTTCGCAACAAGGATGTTCACATTCAACAGTTTTGAAAAATGCACATGTTTTGAGAATGGCAAAGGTTGTGGCGTCTAAGCAGTCTTTGTGCTTAGACCACCGCAGTCATCCGGCAAAATCTCGGTCTGCAGAAAAACATAGAAGGCACCTATGGAGGAAAGGAGAACCCTGCATCGCTATGCAATTCAGTGCTAGCGTTGACTGCGTCCACTCAAGACTGGACGAGAGAGGGGAAGAGGCGGCAGCTGCTTCAATATGTTTATGGAGCAAGTTCATGTGTTGTCCACTTAGTTGCAGCGGGTGCCGCCTTTAAATGACGCTTTCACAGCCGCGACCAGCTGAACGCACGGGTGTATCCAAGCCGAAGTCGGTCAAGTGGCTGCAGGTTAGCGAACTTGTCCCCTGCGGAGGCGAATGACCTTGAGGCAGATGACCTTGAACGAAGACACCGGGCGTCGCAATGACAGCTGGCGTTAGCAACATTCCTGTTTGACTTCCGGA